GTCTACTGGGACCGCTCTGCCAGAACAGTGCAAAAGTATTTCTGCCCTGTCAAACCTGACATACTCCCTCTCGCCCCTGGCAAAGCTGGCAGTACAGCCCATAACCATGAGTAAAAGCCGATCAGACGTGTTCGACTGGGGTATGGTGTGTGTAAGTGTGTAACCAGCCTTTATCAAACCGAAGACTACTCTGTTCTCTAATACATGATGGATCATAAATGTTCAAGGACTTTTTCATTGGAAGTGGTCGTTTGTGAGAGGACTGTGACAAAGCAACAGACAGGTAGAACTGCGCAAAGGTAATACTTGCGGTGAAGGATGGCATTTCAGGAATGTCAGATATGGGAATTGTTGACGGGAAGTCACAGAGAGCTCGGTTGTGAGCAGCATTCCGTGAATTCTGTGGTGTCCTAGCAACGGTGTTACTGTAGTGGGATTTCACAGTGCATCGCTGAATTAACTGTGACAGCAAGGATAAGATTCTTCTCTAGTCTCTCGGGTGATGCATAGACAAATATCATGGAAAACGGATGCTTTCTGCAAATGGAGAATGCTGCAGAAATCCTGTGATTCGCAGAACAACTTCCTCATCCTGGATTGGCTTTGTTTGTTGCACAAACATAAGTTTGATATTTGCCTAGTGTTTTAGAGTTGTTTGTATCACTCCAGTCTTCAGTGTCACGTGATCCTTCAGAAATCACTCTAATATGCTGATTTGCTGCTCAAGAAACTTGTTTGTTTCATTGTTATCAATGTTGAAAAGAGTTTAATATCTTTTTGGAAACGGTGTACATTCTTTAGAGAGAAATAGAAAGTTTCGAAGGAACGGTATTTATTTGAAATAGAAATATTTTGTAACATACATGCATTTACTGTAACTTCTGATTAATTTTATGCATTGCGTTAAAAAAATTTAACTGTAAGATAAAATCATGGATCATGTATGTTTTTATGACATTCATAAATCTACATCGAAGTAATAGTTCAGCCTGGTTATCATTTGCTATTTTTATTTTTGCTTTATTTAATTTAGGCCTATTCCTTTATAGTTCATATTTATTCATTTAATTTTTAAATGTTGTCATTTCTTGCCTTCAAAACAGAATGATTAATCAAAGTTTGTAAAGGCCAATTATTTAAAACTTTGGTAATCTTAAATAATATTGGAAATCTACCGTATCTAGATTTGCTAGCACAAACCATCCCATGCATAGAGTTTATATATGGCTAGTGCATTTCAAAGATCCTTTTTACTCATTTCCTCTTGAAAAGCCTGTGGCATATTCGATTCAGGGATGGTTCCTCTAATCACATTAAATGCACAACAATAAGATTTGTTAACGACACAATGAGACGAATTGGCATGGAGAAGCCAGATGCCTTGATAGGTCATGTGTATGGTCACCATGGTAACACAGGGTCATTGGAAAAGTGGACCAATCATCTCCCCGTTCTCCTGGTGGCTGATATGTGGCGAGATGCCTGTCTCTAGGATACGTCAGAGTCTCATCCATGCGTCATATATAAATCCCCACTTGCAGAAAAGGTTCAGTAATATTAAAGAAAAAATGATGTAAGATTATGCATATAAGGGGTTGCATATGCGGTTTTTAAAATGTGCTAAAGTTCCATAATTGAGCTTATTAAAACTTGAAGATTTGTATATTCTCAATGAGCCTCCAGGGTGAAAAACTTGCAGACTAAGGGCTCTTCAACATCAGTGTTATACTCTTTCAGCATGTTGTGTCCTTTCTGCAGTGTGGGAAAATAATGTGAATACAATCTGCCTGTTCTGTAAGGGATTATCTAGTTTCTTTAACACTCTGCATGTGGTGGGCTACTGCCTCTGCCTGCATTGAGTTATTCCACTGGAGGTTTCGTTTGGTTGCCTATTTAATCGCACTCATGTTCTGTGTGTTAACAGTAGATGTCTTGCAGATGCAAGCTTGTTTTTCATTATCCATATTGCTTTCGACAAAATCTAGATGCCGGGTCTGTACTAAGGCAGACCTCGTTAGTATTCAATATGGGTTTGAATTTGTTCCAGTCAGGCTGGGCGAGACATTTGAAACCCTGATTATATTTGATCTGCATCAGTATGTGTTAGGGGTGTAACGGTACACAAAAATCACGGTTCGGTACGTACCTCGGTTTTAAAGTCACGGTTCGGTACGTTTTCGATACAGCAAAAAGTAAGAAATGCCAGAGAAATTTCCTATTTGTTAAAAGAAAAAATAATTTTAAAATAAGTGTGAGTTTTCCTACATCTTGAAACTTTCAGGTTTATAAATGGGTGTCATCTTTGAAGGATGAACAAATAATGTTTTGGTCATCACATTAAAAATAACATTTAAATATGAAGAGTTCAGATGCAAAAGCCATTTGAAATTTTCTTCTAGAATGAAAATTTTTATCAAGCTTGAAATAAGCTTATCAAGCTTATTTCACTTAAATGGCAATGAAGATTACCTATTAATTGTCATTTGAGTGAAATTACTGAACTTAAATATACAAGCTTCATAAAAATTATCATTCTAGAAGAACTCTTCATATATTTATTTATATAATATTTGAGTTTTGAAGTGCTGGAAAAAGATGTGTGAAGTACTTGAAAGCATTTAACTATTCCAGCCAAACTGGTTACATTTAGTGTTACTATATTAAATCCATGGTGAATGTTGCTGGTCTGTGGACGTAAAGTATTACTAACGTTAGTTCATTCACGGCACAATATTTCTCCTGGTGTTCACGTCAGCGCTGTTTGATCTAATAGAGATCTACGGTTAATAACGGAGAAATGTGAATGCTTCTCACTAGATCTCGCAGCGATGTTATTACTTCAGTGGCGAATTCAAATGTTTTCTTCACTGGATCTCTTAGCGCTGTGTTTTTACAGTGTCGCTTGATCGAGATCGGCTCGCGCTGGCTGCACCATAGACAGTAAAAGAAATGGACACAGCGACCCCATAGACTTCAACGGAGAAAAGTGAAGTCAATTAGAAGCACTCACTTCCTGATTGCCAAGTTTCGTTCCGCTTTCATTACGCTTGCAATATTGCGCAACGTTGTGGTGGTCGCACCAGCGCGAATTTTGTCGGCAGGAAAAATGGTCCAAGGAATCGTTCGGTTTGTATGCGTACCGAACCGGAAGCCTCGAACCGAAACGGTTCAATACGAATACATGTACCGTTACACCCCTAGTATGTGTATATGTTTGCAAACGTGGTTTAAGCACACTTATATTCCCCACAGTGCTACAGTATAGTCTCTTTTAGTTCATTTTATGATGTCATGGAAGAATTCAACACTTATCATGGTTTTGAAAAACTTAAATGTTTGCTGACACCGGCTTGCAGATGGACACCTAAAAACAGAAGATCATAACCCTCATAGGACTCCATGTTGTTGCTTGGTGCCTGTTGGTTTGATAAGGCTTGCTTTTTGTTGTAAGTCTGTTCTCTGTGGTGAATTTCACAGGTTCTTCTCCTTTTTGTGTCAGTGTTGCATCATAAATGATTAGTTGGCTGTAAACACGAGCCTGTAGCGGTGGGAGTACAAGAAAAAGCCTATTGAGACCAGGTGAAGCTTGAAGATTTGTGCGGGGTGGGAAGGTATCTGCATGCTGGGCTATTAGAGGAAGGACTGGGTTAAGAGGGGAGGGATGGGATCACTGTGCTGGGCTGTGAGGAAAGGGTCTAGATCTGTGCTGTGTTGTAAAGATCTCTGGACTGTGAGGAAAAGATTGGATCACTGTGCCGGGCCTGTTCATTTTTTCAACTGTGGCTGGTCGTCGTGCTGATGGCAGCACTTTCTTTTGTGCACTGCTCTTTCTCGCTGCTTCCTCTCGGCGACAGGCTTAGCTTTGGAAAGAAAGAGTTTATCAATGCGTGAGAGGGAGAGTTATCTCACAGTCACTCATCCTTGCACACTACTGCATTCATCATGGGGAACATGGTACCATTTTTACCCCACATACAATCTGGGGAAGATTTGACCCATATTTGAATGAGACTGCAGACATTTTCCCCGTATTACAGTAATAGAGCTTTTAAGTTCATCACTCAAACATGGCCAACTAATGACCAGACAAATACATAAGAGCAGAGTCTAAAATGCCCATTGTTTTGCTTCTGAAATTACTTCACGTTGAAGTGTACAACTTTTCAGCGATAAAGTGCTTTCTCCTGTCCTGTCCCAGTTTAATGTTTAGCGACAATTTTACGAAAGTCATTTGCATGTTGACTTCCTGAAGAATGAGTGCTTTGTGGTGCTTTCAAACATATTGTGACATGTCATCTTTTGGCTCAGTGGTGTGAGTTTGGGACAATCAATGGGAAATTGGGCGAATTGACCACAAGTCTGTAGTTTGTAATCTGTGCTGGTAAAAAAAAACTAAAAACGTACTTATAATACATGCACTTTCTAGCATCTTTTTGTATCTGAGACTGAGACTGATACAAATTGCTTTGATGCCGTTATCTGCAATCAGACGAACACAAGGATTGCATGGGCTTGCGAGAATGTGAAAGCTGTAAGTGTTGAAATCTGAGGCAGACACGACACCATGGTCTGTCTCTGTTAAACCTGTCACCAGCCTGTGATGTGCCCCTGGACATAGCCAAGTGCCAAACGCCCCACAATGGGTGCCATTTGGAGGCTTGACAGACTTCAGAGGCCTGCTTAATCCTGTAAGAGGCTTGTTGTATTGTTTCGGGAGGAGCATCAGAGAAACTGCCCACCACCGTCATATTGTCAGTTTTATGTTTCTGCCTATGTCTCTCTGTCTTGTGTATCTTGTTAAATTCATTCTAGGTCCTTCGTGAGGCCAAAATATTTTGTAACGGTGACCTTTTTGGTGTCAGTCAATCGATAATAGTGGTGTTTGGTGGGTCTTGTTTTTGTAATATCCATGTACATCAATGCCAGTTTTGGCATTTAGAAAACTGGTCAAATCAAAAAATGGATAATCTGTCTCTCTTTTTTCCCCCCCTTTTTGGCAGCTAATGGCACTGACAGTAAAACATACAAAGGAGACCGATCTCCCTGTGGGCCCTCCCGCGTCCTCCACGTCCGCAAAGTTCCCATCGAAGTGTCTGAAGCAGAGGTCGTCTCACTAGGAATCCCTTTTGGCAAAGTCACCAACCTGTTGATGCTTAAAGGGAAAAACCAAGTAGGTGCTCCATGAACCTGTGTGAACACATCTCTGCCCTATCTTCCAGCTCTGTAAGTTAGTCGCAGGACTATCGGAAGCTCAGTTTTTTGAAAAACACTGATGGGTTTTAAATTTGCCTTGTGAGATTCTCAAACCTCACCTTATGCTTTCAGGTTGGTTTAGTGGTGGAATTTCCGGATTAAATGGCATGAATAAGATCAGAGGAAGCCAGCGTACATATTCCCACTGTTAAACCTCTGTGTGGTTTAACATGGTGTAACTAACAGGATTTTGGAAATGTGGGTCCCAATGAGGACAATGGTGTGACAATGCCATTGTCTTAAGGCTGGCCCACACTAAAAGATTCCTTAAAGACCACAAACATGACGATAAAAAAGAAAAATCATAGGTTTAACAACTTTGTTCCTATAGTGTGTGAAGTGCTGCGATGTGACTAAGACAGCACAACACACACTAACAGACACACACTAACAGTTTAACAGTCCCGAGCGTGAGCACGGGAAATCTCGCAAAATCTCTTCCTGTCAAACGTGAAACAAACATAGCGAACGACTGCCAAAAAGAAATGTCGATAATGGTGTTCAGACTGCTTTTTACAGAAAATTAAGTCATGTTACGCTACCATCAGCTCGCTTTCTGAATTGTTATCGTTCCGGTCCATGTGACAGTATACAGAGCACACTGCACATTAGTCCTCAGTTCCCCCCGCAACAACAGGATTAATCTGATCGTTAATATTCAACATGTTGGATATTTACGCTTTGAGATCGGTATGGCCCCGACGTTCTTCCGTGCAGATACAATCACTCTTAACACACCTCACACCACAGGACAATCTGATAAGATAATCTGTAGAGCCATCAAGATAATCGGGACTTTATCTAGGATTGTCGGAAGGGGAGAATTGGGCTCAAAATCTGCCCGATTATCTTGCAGTGTGTGGGTGCCTTTGGGGATTGTGGACGTAAAAAAATGACGCCTATTAAGATTTTTAATGACAATTAAGCATGTTTAGTAGCCTCAATTAAGTAGAAGTAACAATTAAAATAGTAGTCGTTCTCTTTACGCAAAATGCTATTTTTTATTTTTTTTTGGTTTTGGTTTTGGAGTGAAATATGGCCCAGACATTTTTTTTGTAAAAACCCACTATACCAAGAAACGCCACCATCAAAGAATCATTTTGCCTGTATTTTCTCCTTTCTAAGGGATGCTGAGGACAAGGGTCCAGATCTGTTTTAGCTTCATTAGTGGTGGCCAGTGATAGAAACTGAAGTGTGCGTCCTTTCAAACACATCAAGGTCCATCTAATAACAGATGCCCTGCAAAAACACCGCAGTCTCCCGCTTCCACTTGAGTGCCTTTTCATATTCAAATTTAAAATGGCATATTTAGAGAATAAAAGACAGGCAGACAGATTTCTAATGCCCCTGTTGCATAATTTGTTGTTTGTTGGTTGATTTGATTGGGGCTTCAAAAGATTCGGTTTATTGTTAGATTCTGCATCTATAAATCTCACACCTTGCTTGATGAGGTAAGAATAATTATTAGTGGCGCCTGTTAAGACAAGCATCACTATTTTATGGCTCGTTCTTAGGATAAGTGATTTGAACAAAACTCAGAATATTAAACTTTGTCCCATATTGTTTGTGCTACCGACATTGATTATGCTTGTCCTTCCATATGTGCAAAGCAGCACTGATTATAATTGCTAATATTTATCTCCATTTGTTTTAGCCTGCTGATTTTATTTCATTTGAGTGTTGCATTAACACAGGCTAAGAACGAGTTGTATTAACTTACACAACATATGTGCAATTAGATGAAGGATGTTGTTATCAGGATTTAGCACTTACAGTATGTCTCTATTTGCACTACAGGCTTTTATAGAAATGGCTTCTGAAGAAGCAGCCATCACCATGGTCAACTACTACACCACAGCTACACCCCATGTCCGCAACCAGCCCGTCTACATCCAGTATTCCAACCACCGTGAGCTCAAGACCGACAATCTGCCCAATCAGGGGGTGAGAATTACACATACTTTAAACCAGCCCGCCCTTTCACTACCATAGTACGGTCAATGCCAAGGTCATTTATTCATTTAAAGGAATCATTTAAAAATAATTGTTTAAATGCAGGTGCCAAGTTATTAATGTCCAGTCACAATTTGCCAATTTCCAGCTAAATTTATTGGGCAAAATTTGTTTTTTTGCTGGCAAAATTTCGCAAATGTTACCGCACCGTTAGACATGTACTTTTAGACCAATTTCAACAAAGTGTTTGATTTAGTACTCTCAAAATGTCAAGTGAAGTAACCACGTTAGACATGTACTTTTAGACCAATTTCAACAAAGTGTTTGATTTAGTACTCTCAAAATGTCAAGTGAAGTAACCATCAGTGAAAAATAAGGTTGTAACGGTACATGAATTCATCCCGAACCGTCACGATACCGACGTCACGGTTCGGTGCAGTCACAGGCAGACAACGAATACGGTCAGTCACAGGCAGAGGTGTAAAGTCCAGGGGTCAGAAAGTAAAAGTCCTGCCATATGTTTCTTCCACCCATGAACTCTCCAGCTGATTTCACTAATTAGTTCAATCTCCTGGCTGAACAACTGTGCTAATTATCAAATCCAGGTGATTGGAAAAAAAATACTGAGAAGGACTTTTACTTTCTGAACCTGGACTTTACACCTCTGGTCACAGGCGATCCACACTCCAATCCAGAAGGGGGCGCTCACGGTAATGCAACGCTGTTTGCTAACCACCACAACAGGAAAAAGAGCAGAAGAAGAAGTCAGAACAAGAGTTTAGATCATAGATATCCATAATAAAGGCTAGATGTCTCATCCGCGCTGCTGGCCAATGGAGGTCGACGTCCGCACCTGGCGGCCATCTTGTCACAGGCAGCTCGCTCACTCGTAACATTGTTTTTTTTTTTTTACATGTTTTTATTGAATTTTACAACATATTTAACACACGAACATAACATACACTTAATACAAACATAACTTACTCAAATCCCTCCCCCTCCACATTAACCCTGGCAGTCGTAAAAAATATATATTAAAAAATAAATCCGTAAACATACAGTGCTTTATATCATACACTCCTGTTCAGCATTAAGCATATACTACAACTTCACACATCTATAGCCTCTTCAATATCTCCTTCTTTAACAAATCTCAAGAACATCTCCCAAATTTCGTAAAATTCAGAAGACTTCCCCTTGATCACATACGTAAGCTTCTCAAGGGCCAAACTGGATATCAAGTTTTTCAGCCAAAGTCCAAGGGAAGGACAACTTGTATTCTTCCAGCAAAGGGCAATTGAACGCCTGGCTTGTAGTAGGCACAAATCCACCAGTTTTTTTTCTTTGACGGGCAGCGAGCAATTGTCCACATAGACACACAATACACATATTACCGGACTTAAAGAGATAGGAGTAGTAGTAAATTGAGATACATACTGAGTCACTTTCCTCCAAAAGTTTTGTACCTCATCACATTCCCAAACACAATGAAAAAATCTTAATATTGTGTTTTAATGGTGCATGTACGTTTTAAATAACCATAACTTGGTCAATTTTCTACCGATTTTCAAGCGGTTTGGTTTGTTATAAACGTCAGAGATGTAGTTATGACACTGCATACTTATGAATAATAAGTGTATCAATAAACAATCATCCAGAATTATAGCCACGTTAATAACGTTTGTAAGAAACCAAACCGTTTGTAAATCCGTCAAGATTTCAACGAGATAAGAGTATTTGTGTTTGTGCTGATCACTCATCTTACATCAGGTAACACAGAGCCCGCCAGAAAGCTTGCCTGTGACAAGATGGCCGCCGGTGATGACGATAGAGACTCTGCCGTAAGACATCTAGCCTTTATTATGGATATCTATGGTTTAGATGGCACACAAGAGCTTTCTAAAGCCCTGTCCCAAATGGCACACTCCGGACTTGTGGACTTCCTCAGAGTCCACACTTCGGTGACGTCATGTAGTGCAGACCTATAGGGCCCTTAGCGCGAGTCCGCGAGGGCGCATTGAGAGGTATTTTTGGGACAGACTCGATCGTCACGCCGGAAACAGGAAGACGGTCTGATTGTTGTTATGGACAGGAGCTACAGGTTCGGGGAAATATGCTGCCTATTGTTGTTGTGTTTACATATGACTCAGTAAAGCCCTGACATTCTGTTCTATTTATTTAATGAATCATAATGCGATCGTATTATTCAGCTCGCTATTATTAGCCTAAGTTTGAGACATCAACCACTGGTCGATGATCATAATGTTTGTATAAACTTAAATATTTTCTTCTCAGCCATGGTAACAATTGTCCGTGAGCGAAATCTCCTCCCATCCGTTGTCTGATTGGCCTTTCGCAAGGATTCCTGGGTAGTTAAAGTGCGTGGAGCCTGCATCTATGCGGGCTTCGAGGAAGACCACTTCAAGGGTACAAAGGGGGCGCTGCTGAGCACACTTCAGAGCGTTAAAATGCTAAATGGGACGGCCTACGGACTCGTAGACTTGGCGAGCACGCGCAATTTAAGTCCACGGGACCGAAACTCTGCATGAAGTGCACCATTTGGGACAGGGCCCTAGTAGCCTATACGCTGAGTTTCGATAAATTTTTGTGCCGCGATCCACAAACTTCATCCTGTTTCTTTTCCTTATTTTACAACAGAACAATGTTTTGTTTTTATTATGAGATTTTTATTACCGTTTCGATTGATTATCTGCATAAATGGAGATTTTTTCACTTTTTCTCCTTTGCGCTCATCTTTCTGTGGTTTCTTTTAAAAAAAGGAATATTGAACTTTGTGCATCCGGCATTGTCACCGCGTGTTAATGAACTCTCACGCACAAAGAAAATGACAGCATAGGCTACACACAACATGTTTTATTAACAAAGTTTGGGAGAAGCACGTTCAGATAATTAACACGGGTGGAGACCACTCAGCAATCTTGATAAAACATGTATATATAGACTCAGCAGTCTCACCTCATTTCTCTGACAGTTTAGCAGCGTCCCTCCACCACCCCTTCTCCATTCTTCTAGTCCTAAACCACTTTACATACGGGGGGGAGTACTCTGGGTTCGGGCCGAATTCCGAGCTCGGAGCCCTCCCGCCGGACAGCATGCCAAATACGCATTATACTTTATTCCCTTTAATTGTATGTAAGTGTGAACTCGTGAAATGTTAATCAAATGACATCATCAAGAAGTGCCAATCACCAGAGCTAGGCAGAAAAAGACTATATGAGTAAAAAAAAAAAACTTTTTTTTTTTTTTTACTTTTATAACACAAGAGATGCTTTTCAGTTTTGTAGCTAATTGTGACCAAATACCTTTTGGTTTTTTATCAGCCCTACAAAAAAATACGACCAATGAATGCAAGAGTGTGTTCTGTTTACTGCTTAGTGCTTAAAACACTAAACGAGGCTGGACTGTACCAACTAGGGAACTAAATGCCGTTAGTTGGCACAAACTGTAATTTCCACTACTGTATGTTCTAGTCTTACCTAAAACCTAGATGTAACCCTAACCTTTTTTTCTTCTTTTTTTTTACAAACTCAGAATGGTATCTCTGCATATATAGTGCCTCCTTTATACTTTTGCTTTACCCAGAGCGAATAGTTTTACAGTAGGCCTAAGTAAATCGGCTCATTACAGAGTCATTGCTGATAGTGCATTTTAGTGCCATTGCAATCAGGCATTCCCTCCAATGCAGTAGTGAGATTGAGGTGTGTTTGTGTGTACTACTCTGTATGAGTGGAAAGTTTTAGAAGAGTTTGGACCAAATGTTAACTCTATCTCTCACTTGTAGAGGGCTCAGGCTGCTCTGCAAGCTGTCAATGCAATGCATTCTGGGAATATGGGTCTCTCTGGGACTGCGACAGCCAGTGATGGAGGAATGATGCCTGGGCAAAGTCCTGTGCTTCGCATCATCGTAGAGAATCTCTACTACCCAGTGTCTCTAGAAGTGCTACACCAGGTGAGACTACGTTAACCCAAAATTGTACTATTCTTTAAAATAAAGGCCATTTAATATGACTTTTATAATTGTTCTTCATTTGCTTCAGGTATCTGTACTTATTTTTGATTCATAAATAATGACTTAATCAATATATCAAGTGATATCATGATGTTCAGAGAAATAACTAGTCCTTTTTTTTTTACTCTCTGCAATATATCAAGCAATCCCCTGGATATTCACTTAGTTCGTTTGCTTGCTCTATTTTCAATGTTTACTCTGTACACTTCCTAATTTGTTGTCACCTAGCAACCACATAAATTTACCCTTCCACAAGGTCAAAGTGTCACAAAACACTTGTGTTCAGAAATTTATTGAAGCCCTCACATGGGAACTCATGAGTTGAAATCTAGACCAGAAGAGTGCTGGGAAAGCTGAAAAAACATCTTAAACCAGCCTGAGGTGGTTTACTAGTGTCAGCAGGTCTACAAGGCTGGATTCCACTGGTCAGACTGGATTAGTTTAATGGTTTTAGAGGGGTTCTGTGCACTTATAAGATGACTGATCAGCTAAACCCACTAAACACCACCTTGGCTAGGTTGGGAGTCCAGCCGAAAGACCAGCCAAACTTGCTTAACCAGCTCAGATAATCAAACCTTCTAGGGCTTAAACTACTCTGTTTATCATGGCTGTCCTTCATGTTCTTATCCTCTCCTTCATTTAGATCTTCTCAAAATTTGGAACAGTCCTGAAGATCATTACCTTCACCAAGAACAACCAGTTCCAGGCCTTGCTACAATATGCAGATCCAATGAACGCACATCATGCCAAAATGGTCAGTACCGAAATAGAACCCGCAGCCACAAAATGCTCCCCTTTATTATCTTGTTGGTGGGATGAAACATGGCAACCAGCTTTAGTGTACACTAGTTTAGTTCCTCTGTCTGTCCGCGGAGACGGACGGTTTAGCTGTGGTCATCCTTCACCAGCGCTCCGTCCCCTATAATCAACACTTCATCAATCACACCTGTCTTTCATCACCTCGTTTTTGGCGCTCTCTGGTATTTTTTTGGTGCGGCGCCGAAAATTTATCAAAGCAACAGGAAGACAGCAGGAAAACCAGCTCCCAGTAGACCGCACAAATCAAGCCGCCCCTGTAATTAATATGTCACCGTTGAGGTTATCTAATGAATGCCAATGCAGCTCACCAGGGGGAAAAAGAGCTCGCAAGTAATTACTCCTCTGGTCTGAGGGTGTTATCTATTGTGCGGCTGCCATGTTGCATTGCCTCCTTGCACAAAGAGAGTATTTGTTAGTGTTACAGGAGGGGTGGGCACAGGGGTCTCTTTTGAGATGGGCGATGAAGCCCCCCCTTCCTCCCGTGTAAAATTGCTGCAAAAAAAAGGAACAATTGTGTGCAAATGCACCTTATTTTCCCAGCGTGTTGGCTGGAAAATTGCAAGTGATTCTCAACGGCAGAAATGCAGAACTAACTAGAACTAGATCTTTACTTTTTATAAAAATATATTTTTTTAAATTGTTGAATTGATCAAAATCGACAGTAAAGACAAAATGCAGTTTTTTTTAACTTTCTATTTATCAAAGAATCCTGAAAGAAATGTATCACAGTTTCCACAAAAAAGTATTAAGCAGAAGAACTGTTTTCAACATTGGTAATAATAATAATAAATGTTTCTTGAGCATCAAATCATCATATCAGAATGATTTCTGAAGGATCATGTGACAAGACAGAAAAAGTTATTTTAAATTGTAATGATATTTCACAATCTTACATTTTTTACAGTATTATTTATCATATAAATGCAGCCTTGGTGAGCAGAAGAGACTTCTTTCAAAAACATAAATAAATCGTAGCGACCCCAAACTTTTGAGCACTAGTATACAGTGGGCTCTATCTTGCACCCGGCGCAAATAACTTTGTACACTGACGCATGTATCATTCCTATTTTGCACCTGCGCAAAGCGGGCTTTTCCCTCCACAGACGCACGTCGGTAAACTAGGGAATGAACTTGCGCTCCCTGGACGGGTCGGCGCAAAAAGGAGGCGTGTTTCGGCGCAAACATTACCTAGTGCTATTTTGCAGTTCCAGAAAACAATTGCGCCACTGACCAGAAAAAACCTAGTCTAAAGTCAGTGGCGCGTCGCGCGTTGTTCATAATGCTATTTTAAGAGCGCATGCTTGGCCATAATGTAGCGGGTGCACAACGCGCATACACTTTGATTCTCTCATCAACACAGATGCAGCAGTTTTTATTTTTGCAAATCATACATTATAACAACTAAAAATATTACCACATGAGGGAAATCATTGTGGTGTCCATGAAGATGTAAAAAGGCCTAAATCTAGCTTACACATTTACCCAAATTTTTCAGGCTAATTGTAGCAATGACGGATCAGACCTGTTTGCCCAATAGTGGCAAGACACATATGTATATAAGGACATCTGACAAATTAGTTTGTCCATCAAGAACCAGAAAAAAAAAAATCTCCCATCCCCATACAACGTCACTTCTCTGTCTTTCACTGCCCTGACGAGAACGTCGGTCTCCTCGGCTGTGAACCGCTCCTGGCGCGCGCCTGGTAAATCCGCCATAATAATAACAATCCGCCATGCAACATGCGCACCTGCTCTTAAAGGGTATGTTGGATGACGCTCTGATTGGTTTATTTCACGTTACGCCCAAACCACACCTATGAATAATGAAGCTATTTCAGACCAACCCCTTTTAAACTTGCGTCGGGCGCAAGAGGCATTTATCCCGCCGGTAAAATAGCAACAGCGCCCAAGACCCGCCCACAAAGCTACTTGCGCTTCGCGCTTGATACTTGCGTTTCAGATCGTTAAAATAGGGCCCAGTATATATAACAGCACCATAATGCTATAGGGAGTTGTGGATGGATGCCAGGGCATTGCATTGCCGTTTCCAAGGTGTTCTGTGTGGGGTGGTGTCTCTGAGATATTTTAGTATGTGTGATATTTTAATATGGCTTCAATGTAAGAGTAAGACTATGGGATTTCCAGGTTTTACCGTCCACCGTTGGGATTTAATATGTCTGATGGCTGAAAGCTAATAGCACACAGCTCTTCATTCCTCAGGCCACTGTCAGCATTAGATGAGATTTGCATTTGTCATCAGGGCTAAGTTAAATGAAGTTCCTCCGTGGGAGAAGTTTGTTCACATTCCCTCCACCCTGCCAAACCTGCTTCAGGCCTACACAGACAATTCAATAATTAAAATGTTGCACTCATGTTGTGTGGAGTTCTTCTTTTCTGAAACTAAGCATCTAAAGCAGCGATCATGGGTTCATATATATCTCAAATGGTCATAGTGAGAAAACTGACACATTTCTATCACTGTAATGGCTAATACTCTGGGTTAATAGTAGTACAGGGGGAGATTACCTTAAATGAAACTCATCATTTGTGTTATGTGAATATGGGATATGGGAATTATGGGAATATGTTTTGTGGTTTGCAGGTTTGAATCATTTTTACTGCACATGTTACTTTTTATTTTTACACCTCCTTGTTCTTCAGTGGAGATACAAACCTTGTGACCATGGTTTCTACCATATCTGTTTTAGCAGTTTGGCTGTCGCTTACTTAAAGATATTGATTAACAGATAGAAAAACTGAGCTGAGATGTTTGGGCTCCATTAAACCCTGATGTAATGAAGCAGAGCAGGTGTAATCAATGCGAATGTGCCGGAATAGTTCAATGTCCTGTGATCGGAAAGACAAACAAGCTTCTGTTACCTGTGTGACTGCATTAATCTAACAGCAAAAGGAGGATAAAACATTATACACTACCGTTCAAAAGTTTGGGGTCGGTACGATTTTAAATACTTTAAAAAGAATTCTCTTCTGCTAACCATGGCTGCGCTTATTTGATTAAAAATACAACAAAAATCAGTTATAGTATTAAATATTATTCCAGTGTAAATCAGCTGTTTTCTGTGTGAATATATAGTAAAGTGTAATTTATTCCTGTGATCAAAGCTGAATTTTCAGCATCACCAGTGTCAGTGTCTTCAGTGTCAAATGATCCTTCACAAATCAGTATAATATGAGGATTTGATGCTCAAGAAACATTTATTATTATTATCAATGTTGAAACAGTTGTTGGTCTGTCAGTTGTACAGTTTTTTTTTTTTTTTTTTTGGATTCTTTGATGAATAGGAAGTTCAAAAGAACAGCATTTGTTTGAAATAGAATCTTTTGTAACATTGTAAATGTCTTTACTGTCACTTTCGATCAAATTAAGTATTGATTTCTTTCCTCAAAAATAAAAATAAAATTCTCACTGACCCCAAACTTTTGAACGGTAGTGTATATATATATATATATATATATATATATATAATACATTTTTTTATGTATATGTACTTATCACCCTTAAAGGGATACTCCACTTTTTTTGGAAATAGGCTCATTTTACAACTCCCCCAGAGTTAAACTGTTGAGTTTTACCGTTTTTGAATCCATTCAGCCGATCTCCGGTTCTGGCGGTACCACTTTTAGCATAGCTTAGCATACATCATTGAAGTGGACAAGACAGCAGGCGTAATGATATGACGCAGCGCCTGAAAATAGTTCCGTTGTGTTGACGGAAGGTGGCCTATTTTCAGGCGCTGCGTCATATCATTACGCCTGCTGCTCTCATGGTACGGCAGTGAAGTTTCTTGATTATTACGCAGGAATGAGAGTATAGTTCCTAGCCATATCAGCCTAGAAAATCGCAACTTTACATTTTCCGTCGGTCTTAGTGCACGATGTAACTACAGAAGAGTCAAGTTTTAAATAGGAAAAATATCGAAACTCTTTGGTCATTTTTTTTTAGAAATGCTAATGGTCTTGTCCACTTCAATGATGTATGCTAAGCTATGCTAAAAGTGGTACCGCCAGAACCGGAGATCGGCTGAATGGATTCAAAAACGGTAAAACTCAACAGTTTTAACTTTGGGGGAGTTGTAAAATGAGCCTATTTCCAAAAAAAGTGGAGTATCCCTTTAATATGTATATGAATTCTGTCTTTCTTATTAATAAAAAGGTCCAAGCATCAAATACTGAACCCGGTTAATTCTAAGTATAGAAAGTCATACAATAATGGATGTATCATATGATGCAAATTACGCATGAACAGCGTTCCACAGGAAATAACAATAAAAGTAGGAGAAATCAAATTAGTACCTACAGTATACAGCCAAGTTTTACTTAAAATTATTAGGAAACGCTTCACTATAAGTTCCCATTAGTTCATGTTATGAGCAATCCATTTGTTACAGTATTTATTCATCTTCGTTAATAAAAATACAACTGTTCATTGTTAGGTCATGTTAGCTTCATTCACTTTTGATTGTAATAATTTATTAGTAAATGATGAAATTAACATGAACTAAGATTAATAAATGATTCATGAGTATTGATAGTTCATGTCCAGAAACAGAAACTTATTGTAAAGTGTTACCAATATATATATATATATATATATATATATATATATATATATATATATATATATAGTCTTTGATAAGTTTTCTACCTGTAGTGGCCATCAAAACAGAAACTGACTCAAATTGTCCCCAATGTCTCGTGTTTGCAAAGGTGTGAGCCCTAAGTTTGATCATATATCAGTACTATAATGAGAAAGAGATCTATTTTTGCATTCATATTTTCAAAAAATGGAAAAAGTTGCCCTAAAATAGTCTTCCTTTTATTTAAGCAGAATATCATTTCTTTGTGTCTTTGTAAGAGAATGGCATTGTAATGTTGTTTCCCCTGTCAGTCTTTGGATGGGCAGAACATCTACAACGGCTGCTGCACTCTGCGTGTCGAGTTCTCCAAGCTGACCAGTCTGAATGTGAAATATAACAACGACAAAAGCAGGGACTTCACCCGTCTGGACCTCCCCTCAGGGGACGGCCAGCCTACCATGGACCCCTCCATGCAGACCGCTTTTGGTAAGACTTATACACTTACAGTATATATCTGTATACAGTATAGACTTATTCAGAGCAGCTTTAATGGCATCCGCTGTATAAAGCTCCTAGATCACTCATAATTTCACATATTCATATTTTCTGGAGTTTTTTTTGTCTACTGAAATTTCTTGGAAAGATATTTTTGCAGTGTTTCATCAGCAGAACAATATCCCACATTATACCAAAAATAAATCCACCTGAACAAGGCTGCGTGATCATAGACGAAACATGCTTTGAAGACATTTGGAGATATTCTAAACGTAACATTTTAAATGATTTCAAATAATCCCGATAAAAAATTATATTTGTCAAAAGTTCCATTTAAATTGGAGTGCTGGATGAAGTTTAGCACATTAGTGAGAAGAGACGACTTGTTCACACACACACACACACACACACACCATCTGCGTCTGTCTGTGCTTTTCCTCTAGCTCCGAGGAAGTTCTTGTCACAAGCTAAAGGATATCAAAAGTATTTTTCATGGATGTTGATGTATAATAAGTAGTACGGGGTTATGATTACATGTAAATTTTGATGTATGGCATGGAGACAATTTGCACTATTTAATTGTAAAATATCCACTTTGATTTCAGATTTTTCACCACATCATTTCGGCTGGAATATTCTGGGTAAAAAACACCTTAAAGTCGGCAATTGTGACATTTATCTGAGTGAAACGGCTTCTGGAACAAGAACAAATGTAGGGCAGGGCTTGATTTTGTGCATGATGAATTGATTGGATGGTTGTGGTTTGCTATTGGTGGATCTCATGTGAGTGACAGGTTGCCCCGCCCTCTCGCCAGTAAACGCATCATCAGAGAAGAGATGATAGAGATGTAAGAAATAAGAGAAGTTATTTTGATTAAAGATTATGAGGGCACATGAATTATGTGCACAGATAACAATTACTGCAATTTTCCTTATAAAATTAGGAATTTTCCATTTTTATTTCATGATGACTTTATGCTTTATCTGCCTTATGCTTTGTTGATATTTTACCCCGGAATATTCCATTAATTTTCGTCCGTGTGCAGACTGACATTTTGTTTTTTTAATCAAACCTGTCCATTTATCTATTAAACTTCTATTAGAAACGATAGAAATCCCAGTGTAAAACAGATATTTTTCTCACTTCCTCATTACCTGTGTGTTTTATTATAATGCTATCTGTTCGTAGCGCGCTCACTATCAAAGGGCACGCCTTATCGCACATGCACACAAAGTTATGTGGGCCGGACAGTGTTTGCAGAGCAGATTTATTGTGTGTGTGTGTGTGTGTGTGATTGTCAGAGGGGGCGGCAGATAACTGTGTCTGTCTATCCATGCATCTTGTTGTCTCAGGCTCTGTAAATCACTTGCGCTGTTTAGAGCAAGAGGCAGTGTGGATTCTGATAAGGCGAGTGTGTGTTCTTGTGTGTGTGTGTGTGTAAATCAGAGCTGATGAATTGTTTCTGGGCGCAGGCAGGAATCTCAGGGGCGCTCTGTGACGTCTTCACAGCAATAAAAGGTGTTCAAATGGCAGCTTTTATTAGACCACTGCCCTTTTGTCGGTCTTCTACCGCAACACCCCTCGTGAAAAATGTTTTATTGTTGTCAATATGATTGTTTTGAAATGTATGTAAACTGCTTGTTCTGAGCTCTATAGGTTTATATCTCAAATAGGCTGGATAAATCCATTTTAAACAATGGCGTCACAGTTAAGCCCGTCCCACTTGGGAATTCAAGATATTAGATGAGCAAATTGTGCTTTACTTGAACGTGCGTGTCTCAGCAAGCCATATTCAGCTTGAAATCAGGCGGTGATGATAAAACAGTGATGATATAGGGAGAACAAAACAAATGTATGTGCCCCTCTTTTATTGATTGTGCTTCTCATAATTTATTTCAGGCTCATACAGGGTTAGTGATTTTATGTTATGTTATTTTATAAAGCAAATTTATTAAGTGAGTCAATGATAAATTAGAGTGTCTGCAGGAAAAAATCTAGTTTAAAACACACGTGCCATGTTCTTATTAATGCGCTATTTGTGTTCATGTTGGTTTTGTATGGTTTGAGAAACTTTTGTGCCATTTTCAAGAAAGGTTTACATTTAGTGACTCATTAAATGACTAAAATGTAATGTGGTGTAACCATCAAATTCAAATAAAAATAATTAAGAAATAATTTTCCTGACGAATACTTGTAAGATGTTATTAGTATTCATTTAAAAAAAAAAAAAATTCATGGTAAAAAGTTTTTTTTTTTATGGATACATTTATATTAATTCTTAAAGTGTGTTTTGGGGAGTTATGCATTAACCTTGACATGTCATAAATGGCTAATTTAAAAAAAAAAATTAATAGACTTATTGACACAGTCATGAGGTCATAGGATCTTCATTTCATTTCCTGTAAACATACAACATAAACAAACATTTTCTTATATGAATCTGCTGGTCACACCATATGATTTGGTATTCCTCAAATATTATTAATATAAAAAATGAACAAAACTGTTTTTTAATTTTTTTCCATGACATAATAATAAAAGGTTGTGCCAAAGCTACTTAATAATGTTTATTTTTCATGAATTTCATCTTTATAATGAGGCTTTTGACATCAAAACAGATGTATAACCATGACATGTACAGTATTATTTTATGCCTCCAAAGAAATTCAAATCTTTGCCTCAAGAATAGGTGTCTCAAGTCATTTAATGAATCATAAATACATATTATCCCTTCATTGTGTCAGGCAGATACACATACACCGCTATCAGTATCCTGTTATGCGGTTGTGGTCTCATCTTTTAAATCATTTGTTCATTGTTGGTGTGTGTGTGTGTGTGTGTGTGTGTGTGTGCAGGGGCTCCTGGGATCATTTCCTCTCCATACCCCGGGGCGGCTGGTTTCGCCCCCGCTATCGGTTTCCCTCAGGCAGGTAAGCTTTCAGTCACACACACACACACACACACACACATCTCAGTAATGGAGGCAGTGTCGTGCGGCTCACGCCAGCGCTCAGCCTGAATAATTGGAGGTATTACGATGTCATCACTCGAGCCTCTCGCAAGACACATCTTTAGATTGACGCCAGCAAAGTGAGCAAACTGAAGAGGGAATAAACACAAACACAGTATCGAGTATCGACGTCACATTTGAAAACAGATTGAGCAATGTGTGCTGTTAAAAAGCTTTGCATTTTGAATTGGCTATTGATTAGTTTGCAACCGGTTTTGATTTATATGATCAATAAATCGAATTTAAGTGTACCTGGTGTCACATTTCATCATTGGGAAAATAAAATACTATTTAATAGCTAAAGGTTTGAGCATATTCTTTATTTAGGGCATCTCAAATATAAAGAGAAATATGTTAAATATTTATATTTAACATTTTAATATATGTTAAATAATATATACACAACTGTGAAATAGTTTTTGAAAAAATAATCTCTTCTGTTCACCAAGGCTGCTTTGATTTGATCAAAAATACAGTAAAGAGAGTCATATTGTGAAATATTGATACATTTTAAAGTAACTGTTTTCTATGTGAATATGAATTGAAACGTTTAATATTTATTCCCGTGATCAAAGCTGAATTTTCAGCATCATTACTCCCAGTCTTCAGTGTCACATGATCCTTCAGAAATCATTCTGATATGATGATATAGAAATATAATATGAAATAGGTATAGATGCATTTCTGCTGACATGATCAAGACCTCACAGTCAAGTAAAAGTAACATTTAATAATATTATAACAAATAATGTAATATTATAAAAGTAAATCAGTGTACAAATGTACCGTCCTATATTATTAGGCACTTTATTTATTTTTTTACTCATTGTCTTTAACTCCCAAGCTTGGCTCTGCTGTCACACTCCTGACCCTGATCTTCTGTGCTGGCTTCATTTAAACCTCTTACTACCCTGACCATCCAACTCAATATTAATTTGAACTAAAATTACCCAGCATGCCTGAACATGTTGCTTTAATAAGCAATTACAAGAAGACCTTGTGTTGTTTACCTGAAGAAAAAAAGGTTGTAAAAACAGATGATTGCTCTAGAACGTTCCCTTCCACTCTCTTACGTCACTTCCCGTCTTCCCTCTTCCCACCGGTCCGGTCCGGTCAGGTCTGTCTATGCAGGCGATGCCTGGCGCTCTGGGACCTCTCACCATCCCTTCATCAGCAATGACAGGACGGATGACCATCCACGGCATGACCCCCACCACCATCCACTCCGTGCTCCTCGTCTCCAACCTCAACCCTGACGTGAGTTTCACCCCCCCCCCATGAGGCCCTCCTCTGTGAACCCCTCTACCACAAATATACACTGGATTTGCCATTAAACTGATGATGTCTTTAGGAAATAGTTCAAAATAAACTCCATGATGCCCACATGCAACATTTAGTACATAGTAGTTAAAGACACTTAATATAAAGTGGTTCCGAATTTACAATTTAAATGCCCTTCAAAAAGCTTTTTTAGATTCTAGTGGATTTTCACAATCGTCATCATCGAGTATTTTCCAGGGTGGTCTATTTTTGTGACATCCTTGATTTCCAGTAAACAGCATGAAAAAATAAACGTCGTTTTTCCATACAAGAAGGGTTTTTATATGTTGACTTCAGTATGATAATGAGTATGATTTAGATGAAAATGGTTATGTGACACTATGAATTTAAAGCACCACATCGCTTATTAGAGTTATGGACTAGATATAGATAGATGGATATAGAGCAGTTTTAAGGATTTCTGTTCTTTTCTTTTTTGGTGTGTCGGAGCTACTAATTAACCTACATTGTTTTTTTGATAGTATAGTTGCTAATCTAGTTATTGGCATCCAGACAAAAAGTGTGTATAATAATTCTAATGGCAATATATACTGTATATGTCTCTCCTTGCCATCTACAAATAATTTTCCCAATTATATAATTGGTTATTATGAAATGCTCTATCCATGCTGATTAATAATGTTAAATGTAGATGAAAAAAAAGTCTTGTCACAAGTCTGGTGTGAACGGTCAGATTATGACTGAGAAAAATAACTATATTTGCCGCATTCTCGTTTTCCGCAGTGTTTTCTTCGGCGAAATATCAATCTATTTTGCAGCTCACTGTGTTTCTGTGACTGTTGTTAAAATAACCGCGTCATCTGCAGCTCTTCAAGGGTTAGTTCACACAAAAATGAAACTGTTCCCATGATTTACTCACCCTCAAGCCATCATAGGAGTATATGACTTTCTTCTTTCACTTATTTTTAAAAACAAATATTCTGGCTCTTCCAAGCTTATAATGGGAGTGAATGGTAACTGCATTAAAGGGATAGTTCACCCAAAAATTAAAGTGATCCCATAATTTACTCGCTCTCAAGCCATCCTAGGTGTATATGACTTTCTTATTTCAGCCAAACACAATCAGTTATATTAAATAATATCCTGGCCCTTCCAAGCTTTATAATGGGATTGAATGGTAACTTCGATTTTGAAGCCCAAAAAGCGCATCCATCCATCATAAAAGTAATCCATACGGCTCCAGGGCGTTAATAAAGGCCTTCTGAAGCGAGGTCACTCCTTCGCTGGAAGCCACTGATTATAGTTTAAGTTATAAATATGGATATTTTTCTTATAAAAATGCATCACTTTGCTTCAGATGGCCTTTATTAACCCCATGGAGCCGTGTGGATTACTTTTATGATGGATGGATGCGCTTTTTTGGGCTTCAAAATCAAAGTTACCATTCAATCCCATTATAAAGCTTGGAAGGGCCAGGATATTATTGAATATAACTGATTGTGTTTGGCTGAAATAAGAAAGTCATAAACACCTAGGATGGCTTGAGAGCGAGTAAATTATGGGATCCCTTTAATGCAGTGCTTTAGCGTCTTTAGCTGGAGCGAGAACAACACGCACAGAGCAGAAAGGGCTTGAATGAAGCGTGTTTGGCTCTAGATAAAAACATTAGAGAATTAAGCGGCGAAAGATCATTACCGTAAACGACCCTGAGTGCTTGTGGTGTGAACGGCTCTGTGGTTTTGATGCACTTTAAAATGTAGAAACGGTAAAATGGTGGTTGTCATTATGTCTGTTGTCCAGTTGGAACCAAGCAGGAGTCGGGAATAAGCACCGCGGTCCACTATTTAAGGATGCCCGAAACATATATTAGTCTATCACTAATCTGAGCCATTACCATAGATTATAGTATTACAATTATTACTGGCCTTGTATATCACTGCTGCCTTTAAAAATGATTCCTTTCAGTCTTTTGTTTTGTCACATGAGCTAATCCAAAGCTATTCCCATACTTCTTTATTCAGTCCAGGCAATTGCTGTCACAAGACACTTCCTTCATTTAATTGTGCAGCATTAGCGGTCACTGGTCATGAATGTCAACATGTTCCATAGCAAATCACCACATCTGTTAATGTTCCTTGATGCATTTCACACTTACTCATTCAACCTTATTCCAGTCATGTCTTTGATAATGTTTCATCTCTTGCAGAGTATATCGCCACACGAACTCTTCATTTTATTCGGTAAGGACAAATGTATTACTCCTCCTGCAGATTAGATGTGCAGACTGCAGTTTTTATGAAGGCAGTAGAGGATAGAGAGTGAGCGATGAGACCATTTCCTTACAAACACACAGCCTGGAGATTATTTGCAGATTGTGTGTTGTGTGTGTCCCATCATATGAATGGGAGAAATTCTCAGTATTGCGCACACACTCAGTGTGTGTCATTGCCATTGTCCCCGCAATTTAATAACTGTCAACATCAGAGACAGACCTTAGTGTGACTGATATCCTTTAAAAGCGCTCTGTTTGCCCACTCTATGAGCATGTGAGCGGTTACTGTCGCTCTCTGCCTTCAATAATGAAACACCGAGATCTGCAGATAACGTATTATTTGCTGTAAATTGTGTTCACGGTGTGTTTGAGTACAAAAAAAAGATGTAAATTTCTCTTTTATCCCGACAGGAGTCTACGGAGACGTTCACAGAGTCAAGATTCTGTTCAACAAGAAAGAGAATGCCTTGATACAGATGGCGGACGCCACGCAAGCCCAGCTCGGTACGTCAGGCATTACACACAAACCCTTTTCATCTTGATTTATTGTCTTCATCCTTTGATTACTTGTATCTGGGTATTCTGTGGCTGTATTAGAGTTACATTTCAGTGTGGTTGTATCTTTTGGTGGATGCAGCCAGTAACATGGACGAAATATTTATAAAGATTATGGTTTTTCGGCTAAATGTCTCATAATAATTCCTTGTGTAGATGCGCAGAAATATTCTGATGCAATTTTTGCAGCATTTTAAAATAGAGTCTAAAAGAAGCGACGTGTACACACTGCCAAGGTTTTTGTTGTTGTTGTTGTGATAACCATATTTAAATGCAGGAGCGAATGCTTTGATGTATCTCATCTGTTAACAAAAACCATGGATTTAATTTTTAGGTTTTTTTCCGAGTGGATACAGTGAATTGAGTAATTCATTTGTGAAACATGAGCAGAATTCGCTCTGTGCACGAGAAAAATGCTAACTTCCGGCTTGAGGGTGGAAATTGGGTACTTCGTTTCCGGTTGCCGTCTTGTTTACATCAGTGGACCGGCGTTAAGTTAGTTTAATCGTTCGCAATGGACCTAAAACATAAAAAAAACCGATTCACTTTTCAAAGGGCAGTCGGTGGTAATACCATAATTCCTCAAATAAAAGCTGGGGCCTTTATTTACCTAAACTGCAGAAGGTAACAGGCTTTTATTAGAGGCAGGCGCTTTATTTTAAAAAAATCTAAATCAAATTTCCGTCTGGGTTCCATGCTCCTCAAGACAATTTCGTTTTCATTAAAGTTGTTGAAAAGACCGTTACACTAGCAGCACTAAATTATATGTGTGTTACATCTATTGTCTACTACCATCTATTGGCTGTACGTTACGATGAACTTGAATGCATATTAGGGGATGTTTACACCTGGCCACTTCATGTGTTTTCTCAGATCGGAAAGCTCTCTGATTTATCAAAACAATTCTACTTAAATCTGCTCACAAATGCGTTTTCGCAAAACGGATATAAATCTTCAATTCCCACGCTATATGCGGATTTAATGGAGTGGACGTCACCGAAAGCAACAGATATGAGCTGCATTTGATAGATCAGCTCATTTCTAAATCAAAAGACCGCAATAAGCGAGAGCGGCAACAAGCCTGGTAAGATCATTTCGTTTCTTTACTTTTAATGATGAGGAGAATTGTCTGCGACTTACTTTCACTTTAATTTGCAATAGTTTGCACGTTGGCTTTATGGATAGATGCTCGGCTGCCGTGATGCGTGTTGCAGACTGCAGTAGCGTTGTCACATCTTGCTATAACATTACATAGCCTATAACACGCTCTCACACTTATTTTTTAGCGTTTTTGGGAGGAGTAAAATTTAGATACGTGGTTTCAACAATCAGATGCATTTGATTTACACTTGTGCAGTTTCGTCTGGAATCTCGTCTCAGATCTCCTCCTGAAGAAGTGGTTTGAGCGATCGGATTTAAATTGTCTCGAATGTGCTTCGGATGGCATTTATACATGGTCTTTTCACGATCAGATCACAGAACACGCATGAAGTGGACAGGTGTAACATCTCTTCAATGAAAGTCATTTAGGAGATTATCCACACTAATTTTCCCCCGGCCTTTATTTGTCCGCGTTGATCACGCACCCGGCCATTATCAGAGGCCCGGCGTTTATTTGAATACCGGTTTTTATTTGAGGAATTACGGTAACCAGGCGCTGCTGCATTGTGAAAAGTAAACAATGTTTAACGTTACTTCTACGTCGTCCATCAGGCTACCGGAAACTAGACACCCCCTATCGGTTTCGCAGCCGGAAGTAGCATATGCTAACGTGCACATAGTCTATTCATTTGTGTAAATCATTCATGAATACATTCTCGCATACATTTTTCTATACAATTCTTTGTTTATGATTTGCATTTGGATTTTGCCAACTATTTACATTAATGTATATAAAGGTAAAATGGTTTTGTGCATGATTTACAAAGAAATGTACGTAAGAATGGTTTTGCGAACAATTTACACAGAAATGTATGTAAGAATAGATTTGATATTGATTTACACAGAAATTTACGCATTAATGATTTTATCCACATTTAATGCAGTAATTTATGTGAGAATCAATTTGCGAACTATTTACACAGAAATTTACATAAGAATGGTATTATGTACGATTTACACGGAAAGTAACCTGAGAATGATTTTATCCACATTTAATACAGTAATTTATGTGAGAATCTTTTTGCATAGGATTTACTCAAATGTATATAAAGGTAAATAGTTTTGCGCATGATTTACAAAGAAATGTATGTAAGAATGGTTTTATGCACGATTTACACAGAAATTTATGTAAGAATATTTTTGATATTGATTTACACAGAAATTTACGTAAGAATAGTTTTGATATTGATTTACACAGAAATTTACGCATGAATGATTTTATCCACATTACATGCAGTAATTTATGTGAGAATAATTTTGCGAACGTTTTACACAAATTTACATAAAGGGTTTTGCAAACTATTTACACAGAAATTTACATAAGAATGGTATTATGTACGATTTACACGGAAAGTAACCTGAGAATGATTTTATCCACATTTAATACAGTAATTTATGTGAGAATCTTTTTGCATAGGGTTCACTCAAATGTATATAAAGGTAAATAGTTTTGCGCATGATTTACAAAAAAAATGTATGTAAGAATGTTTTTATGCACGATTTACACAAATTTATGTAAGAATAGGTTTGATATTGATTTACACAGAAATTTACGCATGAATGATTTTATCCACATTTAATGCGGTAAATTATGTGACAATCGTTTTGCAAATGTTTTACACAAATTTCCGTAAAAGGGTTTTGCGAACTATTATTTGCGAAGAATATTTTTGAATAATATTGATTTACACAGAAATTTGCTCTGCTTGTGTTTCATGACTGAGGCAAAATGTGTGTACAAAATGGGATTAAGCACTAGAGGCAGTGTGTATGTGCACAAAATGTGTTTGTTGAAAACCTGAAAAAAATCTATCTTATGCTTTACAGTTCAAATGTTCAGCATAAGAGTGTAACATGATGTGTGTCAGGGTTATCTTTAACACATCATCTCATGGTTTGTTTGTTAAGCGATGAGCCACCTGAACGGTCAGCGTCTGTATGGTAAGGTGATCCGTGTGACCATCTCAAAGCACCAGACGGTGCAGCTCCCCAGGGAGGGTCAGGAGGACCAGGGCCTGACCAAAGACTTCAGTGGGAGCCCGTTGCACCGCTTCAAAAAGCCCGGCTCCAAGAACTTCCAGAACATCTTCCCCCCCTCCGCCACCCTGCACCTCTCAAATATCCCGTGAGTGACTGGCAAACACGCACACATGGGGCTCCAAACACAGCATGTTACAGGAAATACATGGTTTGGTCAGATGCTGCAACGAAGACCCAATTTTGCTGGACTAACTTAAGCATTTACATTTTTGGGGGAAATTTCTCATTTTTTATAATGTTTATAATTAACATTAAAAACCAATGAGGGAATTAAAACTTGGAAAGAATCATTGTTTATTTATATTATTTAATTGTATTAAATTAAACGATATTAAATACTTTTTAATTCATTTACTACAGTTGTCACTTCAAAATAGACAATGACATGGTTATATAAAACTACATAATATATATTATATAGTATTAAATTGTAGATGTTGAATTTCCAGAAAAAGAAACAATATTGTAACGCATATTATTAGAGAGATGTAAAATTACTCATACTGTGATATATGATTATTATTATCAGTATCTCCCCACCCATATTATCATTATATCATATATCGGTTGTTTCACTCCACAAGAAGTCTTCCATTATTCTTTGAATTGTTGTTGGCATCAGATAAGGGGCTGTTTTTGTCCTTTGTAAACATAATATTTTTGTTCCTTTCGTTCCACGCCCCAGCCCCTCCACCACGGATGATTTTCTGAAAGACCTGTTTGCCAGTTCTGGATACACGGTCAAGGCCTTCAAGTTTTTCCAGTGAGTTCTCTTCACATTTGTTTTCTTTGTTCTCAGACTTCATTTATCATCACACTGGGAATAGTCTGCTTGTATCTTTCTTCCAAGACAACACGGCCGATAAGGATGAGTTGTTTTGGGAAAATACGAAACTCGTATTTTATAAACAGTGTCCATACCATCTGCTAGAAAGAGGCAGACCCTGATTTCACAGAGTACAACATATTCCAGGAACAACATTCCAATCAACCAATCAGATTTAAGGGACAAGTTTACCGTTTATGTCAAGTTTAGGCTTACAAACAAAAGTTATTCACCTATCATTTCCCTCTGATGATTTTTTTGTGATAACTTAGGGTTAGGGGTAGAGATATGGTTGAGATATGCCCTCTCTGGAAGAGGGTGGCCCTCTAAGAGCATTGACTGAAGTTCATGAAATCATGAAATACTTTATAGTTAAACCACATAACATTTTTAAGTCAAGTCACTTTCATTTATATAGCTTATTTACAGCAGCTCTAGAATAAAGTTATTGTCCAGCTAAAGTTAGTTTTGATTGATTCACTTCCATTACAAAGATCATTAGTTATTAACTTAGTCGCTAACACGACACCGTTCTAAGAGAAAACCCTTAACGCGCTCCGGCCGCTCATTCGCACAACAGTGTTTGGTGGCTCGAGAACGCAAACCTTGAAATTGGTTCCCAGGTGCAAGCCTTGAAAGTTTTAGAAAAACGTTATCACCTCCACGAAAACTTCAAAAACGCAAACCTGTGAAAACGCTGACGTGCAGGGCTTGCGATGTGGCACTTTAGCTGACCCAGTATCTGATTTTCACTCTCCATATCTGATTGACAGGAAGGACCGCAAGATGGCGCTGATCCAGCTGGGTTCGGTGGAAGAAGCCATTCAGGCTCTTATCGTCCTCCACAACCACGACCTGGGAGAGAACCACCATTTGCGAGTGTCCTTCTCCAAATCCACCATCTAGCACCCCCTTCACTACAAACACACCCTTTCCCCATCCTCCCCGTTCCAGCCCTTCTACCTTCAGCAGTCTGACTGTTTCATTCAGAGAATAAGACTGACTGACAAACTAAAAAAAAAACTAAAAAAACATTACAGATATTCATGGGGTAGTTTTAGAGATTTTCCCAAAAAAAGAAAGAAAAAAAAAAGCAAATAAGAGACTACTGCACAACCTTTAGACAGTCTGAGAGTGAGTTACTCTCGATACCAGGGCTGGAGACACATGGGATATCCATGACAATGTGACGTTTCTGGGAGCTTCTGTGTCGAGGAAGTAAGATTCCCTCTAGAGTCAATTGGTGAGGACTTCGTTGATGTGAAACACGAGATGAACATTCTCAACAAAAGTCAATGCTGAGGAAGTTTCTTTACCGCACATTTACCGATTACATTGGAGACTTGACACTCCTGTAGCCCAATGGCCTTGTTACCCCAGACCCAGTGAGGGCGGAGTCTCCTCTGCTCCTCCCCCAAAACCCACACCTTCATTCTCATTGGCTGTTTCGACGGAGAGCCCCATTTCCCGTGGGATGTTTTGGACGCACGGTCACCGTTTGAATGTCGCTGACATCGTCATCAAGGTGCTGCTGGAAAAAAAAAAATCTGTAGCGATGGCCTCAACCAATAGGCTTGTGCTTTTCTTCTGAGTAGCATTAAAACAAGACTGCAATGGATTCAAAAATGGGTGCATTTAAAATTCAATCGCAGCTGTTTCGGCTTACAAACCTTTTTGTTTCTCTGCACTTTGATTGGTTTGAATTGAAGACAGGCACCTTGGGGAATGTTAGGCATCCTCATATCTGTTTACTGTGCAAAGATGTATAGCCAGATGGTAGGCATCTGTGAATAGATAGTGAATGGCGTGATTTGTTTTGTTTTTTTCTTGTATTATGGAAATTTTATATTGGACAGACCAGCCTTTTGTGGGCTCTCTGCACCTGCAAAGCTTGTCAGAGAACATCTGCGTGCAATGGCGCACGATGTCATTGTCCAGTCGATCGGGTTCCTCTGAAACAAGGCGACCGTTTTCAAACATGCACGATCATTCCTGAACACTTATGGCCAGCTGTCAACCCTACTGGAACGCTTCAATCAGCAACGCCCAGCCTGACAGGAGGCTCCGCCTCCTCCTAAGTGAAATTCTCAATGTGAATGGTATAGCCCGTGATCTCGATTGGGAAATTGACAATTTCCTCCATTCTGTTCCCCTTCTTGCTCTTAGTTGAGTCTTTTCCTTTCGTTCTACTTGTTTTCTATCTTTCCACGCAGGGGTAGAAGTTTCTATCCTCTGCTCTTTCACTCCTCGGCTCCGTCCACAGGTGTGAGAGTGTGCAGCCATGGGCTCTGTAGAAACCGTAGTGAAGACCATTGAGTCACAGAAAAAAAGAGGGCGGCACTCTCTTTTGCCTTGCAGTCCCACACTAAATGCCTCTGCATCTGAGCAAACCAAATATTAACGGGTTTGAGTAAGTCGGATTGACACGGAGACGCCACCTAGTTCCCAAAACCTAGTGAGATGCTGCATAGGCAGCCGCCTTCTTAGGCCTAATCGCCATGAAAGCCCATAAATGACTGATCTGGAATGCTTTAGAACCGACTAATAGTACAGAAGTCCACAGCAAACTTGACTCTAATAGAGTTCAGACCTGAGGTTTTCTTCTAGAGGTGAAGGTAAACTCTGAGTCCGTACCATCGGAAAAAAACTGTCAATGTGAATCTTGTAAGCCAATAATACAATAATACAAGACTCTGATATCATACAAATGCTCACTCCAAAACTAGCATCTCCTCCAGGAGGCATTCTGATTCGATTGTGTTTAGTGGAGTTAGATGTTTGCATGCTAACTTCAATAGTAGAAAATAAATACATATCACATGCCAATATTGAGCATGTGCTATGTATTCTTTAAGCTCATTACAGTGATAGTTTGAGGTTAGCATGTTGCTAAGCTAATAACGTGGTATTCTAACACTGTGTCTACACTGGACAAAAAGCGAACCCATTATAATCATTTATACTGTCTATGCTGGATGCAGAGTGATGAAACACAGACGGTAAACGGATGCCTGTTCGATTTCTAAGGCACTCCATGTGCTTGCGCTACTTCTGACAACAGGACAAACGTTCACTTTGAAATTCGTTGTTGAAAGCCTCAAGATATTGCGGCATAATGCGGGAACTGTGTAGACGTGCTGTAATAAATGTAAAATTTCACAGCACATGCTCAATATTTGCTATTACTAACATACGATCGCAACATTAGCTTAGCAACATGCTAATATCAAACTCTACTGGAATCAGTTGATCATATAAATGATTAATTTGAGTGTTTTTAGCCTGATTCTAACATCAAACTCTAGTTAAAATAATACATTTAATGAAACAATTTTATAGATATGTCAGTATTGAAGGAATTCAAAGTATATTTACAATCGATTCGCCCTCCATCTTGTATTTTAATGAGCTTATCACAGTGCATTCTACAAAGGATACATGCAATTCTGCCTTAGATTTTGGCCAAAAGTAGACATCTTCGAAAGCTGGAACAGCCTTTGTGTCGGGATCGCGCCTGTGATGCCTTAAAACGTTGTCTAAGTAGGCAGCTTACTAGGTTTTGGAACGTGGCGCATTTCTGTATGTACAGAAGCTGATTCTGTATGTACGCGTTTAGTTAGTATTTGTGTATTCAGCATTGGGACTCTCTAGGATATATGATGTCTCCCTTGTGCGTACGAACGAGGTGCTGTCTCATTTAGCGAAATCTGGCCTTAACATTCCAAGGAGGGTCACCATAGACCCGTTGAGTAGCATCTAAAGGGAGCAGCTCCTGTGCCTGAGCACTATATCCTCTGTCGAAGCCCGTTTGAAATCACAGTTATCAAACAATTCAACAATCTTCATGTTCATGCAAGGCAAGGGACAGTGACTATTTTTTTTTTGTCTTTGACTGATTTCACCTGAAGCGATTCGAAACTTCGCTTTCACTTCTCAAAAGAAATTTAATTTTGTTGAAGTTTACAGTCTTAAAGCAAACTATTCAGGTCTATATATCTTAAGGATTGTCGAGATTTTTTGAGAAAAAAAAAAGTTACTTATTTTTGCTAATTTGTTCTTTTTTATGGAAGATTAAAAAAAAAAATCAAATTTGAAACCTCATCGGGTTTTTGTACCACTATAATCATTCAAGAAATCATGGTGAAAAAAAAAAATCATATTTACTGTGTATTTACCTAATTTCTTATTACGTGCCTTATTATGTGTTCATAATCAAATAGGTTTTAGACATTTTAACTGAAATATCTTATGTACTATTTTGTGGGATTGGTGAGAGGGTTGATTTATTTTGATCTTGATTTTTCTTTTATTATCTTTTTGTTGTGTAGCTCTTATAGATGTGCATTTTGTGGGGACTCAGTACCATGTGGTCTTAATATGATATGAGATGTAAGTTATGATGTATGGTGCTGTGAATGCTCTTATTAGACAAATGAACGGTGAACTCAACAATGTTCAGAGCATGCTGTGGGTCTCTATTCTCCCTCGCAGATGTGTGTGTGTGTGTGTACATATGTGTGCTAGACACACGTACCATTGTTACGTACAGCCTTTCTAGGCCAAAAACAAAGTTCCTCCATCTCTGGTATAAATATTTCAAGATCAGAGACTGAGGTTGCTGTAAACTTGCTTATAGTTATGATTAAAAAGTATGAATCTACGAGCCATTATGAGCACATCTGTGAAGTTTTTTCATTTCGAAGTGATCACACGCAAATTTCGTCTGGCGAACAATAAAACGTGCGGAAAAAAATCCCATAGGAGTCGCCCAAGCCGTGTCTAGACACTTGGAGTTGGGTTCTTTTTACTTTGGGCCAGTAACCAACTAGGAACCATCTGGACATCACAGCAAATTTTTTTCAAGAGTTTTTCATGGGAAGGTCCACTCAGAAATCAACATGCATCAATCACATCTTCTAATATGATTATGATCATGGGTGCACATGACTGGTGTGCATGCGTGGTAAAAAATAAACGATGCGCAGCAGAAAACGTGGAGCGAAGCGCTTTTGAGTACCAACATTTTGGGAGACAAGGACACGTTTACTTTCTGGAGTAGGATTTTTCTTCATCTCTGGTAAGATAGCAAATTAACTGCCAAGTTTAACCATCGTAGAGTGAAAGTTTATCATTGTGTTTTGTCTTGCAATCTACACATTCAAACGATTTTAAATGTGAAAGAAGAGGCGGAAATCGGGATTCGTATCTTCGGTCTTAAAGTGACAGCAGCCTAATATTCCTGCTGCGGCATTAATCTTAATAAAATAAAAAAATTGCTTGAAACTATATTTCATTTCTACAGTGAACAAATAGTGTTATAGTGAGGAGAGCAGGAGGAAAGTGATGACGACAGCTTGTAGGATAAGTGCCGCGTAAAGTATGAGTACCAAGCAGCATCTCCAGGTTCTCCCTTGTTCTGTGCACCCCATCTAAATTATCCCCGCGGAGACCCAGAAGCCCACAGCATAGGCTCTGAGTGTTCAGGTCTGCCTTCTGTTTTGCTATGGAGTGATGCTGATGTCTGAGACCTCCACCTGTGTGTGTGTGTTTTGGAGTATCTTATTTACTGTACCTTATAATTGATTCAGTTTAGGGGTTTTGGCCTGTTTCGTTCTTGCTCTGTTGTGATACTTTTTGTTCTTTTTTTGGGGTTTGTTGATTTTCTATATTAAGAGTGTGAAAACTGGTTCAAGATTGTTGTCTGTCACTCTGCCTCTTCACAACAGCAGTTCCGGGTCCGTAACGTCCACGGACGTGTGCGATGGCGTCCGTCGGGAGGTGAGATATATGCAGAGCGCCGATCTGCTCCCGGCTGCGATGCTTTTTATGTATCAACAGGAGAAAAGCCAGACTCCATAAACGTGTCACAGAAGTCATTCATTTTAGTTTCTCGAAGCGAAACATGTTTCCAACCACGTCTTGACTCAGGCAACAACGTTCCGCTGTGTTGTAAGACATTTCCTCGTTGATATCCGCGCTCACTCGAACAGTTAACACACACGTGTATGGTTTTTTCCAGGTTTTTTACTGAAAAAAAAGTCACAAATAATGCAGGACCAAAGTTTATGTGCCTTTCATCTAGCTTATTTGTAACTTATTTCCTGGCTGTATATCAG